TCATGTTCTCTTTTTCTCCTGGCATTCTCAATACTGAAAACAGAAGTTTAAAACAATACCAGATTATGATACACAAACAAAGTAAGAGAAAATTACTGTTTAGTAATTTGGGAATTCATTTAGCTTGGTCAACTTCTGCAAAATGTTGGTTGGGTTTGCAAAAACTCAGGCCTTGATTTTTTATCAAAAATCCCCATACCTGTAGGCTTTGGGATCTTCAATATCTTCTGGAATTGGCTCTGTTTCCATTCCAAACTATAAGAAGAGAAATAAAAGATTAGCCCTTTAAAACTGCATAATATCTCTCTTAAAATATGTAGGAAGAAGTAAATTGAAGAGGTTTTGTTTTTTTATTCCAGACAGTTTCTATCAACTGTGAATCTAAAAAGTAGTTTCACAAAAAACAAACTAGTGAAAAATTACAATTGACTAAACTTATTTGTTTTTGTCTCATTTAAAGGGGTAGGTAGGAAAAGTGTTGAAACCTCATTATATGTTTGCAAAATGTTAATATCACTGTAATTCCCCCAAAAAACATGAATTACTAATATTCATGTGTTACTAACAGAGAATTCACTAAAAAAGTTCTAGATCATTTATTTCCAAATGCTATTTTTAACACATATTATATGTGTTTATTATATGCACATTTCCCCAAAATACCTCAGTGTGTCCTAGGAGATTTTAAAATATACATATTTTTAACTTAAAGTAAGCATTTTATATGACCTTATCAAAAGAAGACATAAAATGGAAAATGCAAAGAACAATATAATTCCCTTCCTTGAAAGATAAAGATATAACATCAGAAATCTCCCTTTAGGAAGGAAATAAGTTTAAATTAAGGGAAACTAAGAAGCAAATCACTTAAAAGTACTTTGATTATTCAGGCGCTGTGCCATGTAATGTCTTAATCTGTGATCTTAAGGAAGAGGAATTATAACCCAGTGAATAAAACAAAGAGTCTTAGTTTGCTAACTAATCAGTTCACAAATAAAACTAAACTTGTTTATTCTTTGTCCTCTTTCATAAGAGACAGGTCTCTGTTTTGCTATATTCTTTGTAAAGAAATAAAGACTCTTTTGAGCAAGTTGTTTTATTACAGTCCTCATACATATGAAATGTAAATACATATATTTATGGAAGTCAATGTTTATGACTTCAATAAAAGTGAAGTCATAGAACATGACCAATATAAGAGGCAGTGATAGCTAATAAATTATAGTTACTATTAATCACTTAGGACATAAATTGATTGAATTTTATTTATTTTTTATTCTTCTATTGGCCAGAGTTAAGTCCCTTGGTTCTCTAATATCCGTGATTTCCAAGCTTTGATACTGATACTCAGCCAATTGTCTCCTGGCCGCAGCTGTTTGCAACAAGGTTGAGTTAAACAAAGGTGCTTCCAACAGTTCCAAAATACATGCAAATATGTCTTAACCCCGGCTGCACATTAGAATCACGTGAAGGATATTTTGTAAAAAGCTGATGCCTGGGCCTCACCTTCAGAAATTCCAAATGAATTGTTCTTGGTGAGGCTCGGGCATCTGCACTTCTGAGGGCTCCCCAGCTGATTTCAAAGTACAGTAAGAACCTTAGACCTATGCAGAGCTTGGTTTTCTGTGGGTTTTTAAAAACTTCTAATTTTGCCTTCTTAAAAGCAGAGTCTATTTCAATGATTTAAGAAATATTGATTTTAATAAGGAGAATTTAACACCTTTAATATTTGATATAGAAGAAACAGAAAGTCAAAATTATAGTACTGGTAGGAAGATTAGACTATAAGGTGAATGTGTCTAAATCGTTTTAAATTTTTAAAGAATATAAACAATTTTATCATCACTATTTTAAAATAAAGTTTGCTATTGTTAATTAACTGTTTCGTTAATTTACATACCCTGGGAGATGGCACTTTGGCCTTGATGTCTTTCCTTAACATATATTCAGAAAAAATATTGAAAACAAAGATATTACTATCTGTTCCAGCAGTCATCAGGAAACGGTCATCAAAGCTAGTAGTGATGCTTTTAATACATCCATAATTATTGTCGTGCACATTGAAGTGCCAGTAGTCCTCCAAAGTGGTCAGTGAGGGATCATTCTCGCTTAAGAGATAGACTCGAATTGCTCCATTTCTCATTCCACAAAACATCATAGTTTGGTTAATGCTATAAAACAAAAAAGGAAAGTAAATTGTTCTTCCTATTAATCTTAAAATACTGTTTAATTTTAAATTAATTGACAAATGACTAAATTTTTAATGACAAAGTTGTTATGGACTGAATTGTGTACCTCCAAAATTCGTATGTTGAAGCCCTAATTCCCAGTACCTAAGAATGTAACTATATTTTGAGATAGAGCCTTTAAAGAGGTCATTAAGTTAAACCGAGAACATTAGGGTGGGTCTTAATCCAGTCTGACTGGTAACCGTATCAGAAGAGGAGATTAGGACACAGAGGGAGACAAGAGGATGTCACAGCACCGAGGAAAGAGCATGGGAGGACACAGCAAGAAGGCAGATAGCTGTTAGTCAAGGGGAGAGGCCTCAAGAGAAACCAACCCTGCTGACTTGATGTTGGAGCTCTAGCCTCCAGAACTGCGAGAAAACAAATTTCTGATGTTTAAGCCACCCAGTCTGTGGTATTTTGTTGTGGCAACCCTAGCAAACGAATACAAAAGGTTAGAGAAAAAAAGCCAATTTGAAATTTGGAGCTATTATATTTGGTCTTCAGAAGAATAATGGGCATAGACACCCAGTTCTCAATTATTAAAGAGCTAATGATTAAATATGTGGTTTCTCCAGAAAGAACCTTTCATTGTAACCCTGAATCTTTATTATCTGACCAGTAGTAGCATCCTTCTGAGTAACAGAAGGTAAATACATACAATTTAACGGTATGATAAACACAAATTCTGACAGAATATCTGATGGGGGATTTAAATATAATTTCAGGATTAGCTTTGATTCTATGTATTTATTTGATTTATTTAAGCAAACATTATTTGAGTACCCCTTCATTTGGATGGTTCTTTAAAAATGGACGATATCCATGATGGACAAAAACATAGATGCTAATGAAATATAGTTTTTTAGAGCTTTTTGAAACTCTGCTCACCTGAAAGTGATAGTTTGGACAGGATTATTCTCTGTATCCTCAAGAAAACGGAAATCAAAAGGTTCATCTTTCTGTTCTTTGAAATTGCTACTCTTGTCATAAGGGGGGAATTCACAGTGATATAGAAAACCAGAATCATAACCACCCTGGAAAAGAGATAAATAACATAAAAGGTGTGACTTAAACATGACACATATGAATGCATCAGGATTTTTTTTATTATTTTAAATTTTAAAACAGAAAATAAATGTTTTAAGCCACCTATTTCTATGTTATTTCTATGATTAGAGATAGGTTTATTATTTCCATAAAGTATCTCCCTTATCCATGCATATGCAACGATATGATTATACTAACAAAAACCTTACGGTGATTTGTTTCCACTTAAAAGTCAATAAAAGAGAGCTATCACTTCTACCTAGTGAATTCTGTTTTATTTCTTTAGGTATTATTCTGAATAAACAGTATTTAATAATTGGTTTTTGTAGGTCATTGTTTTTACAGCTAGCTTTCAATCTAGGGTAACTTTAAACACTTAATTTTCCGCACAGGGCTATTTAGGAAAAATTTGTCCATGTAGTTGGAAGACAAGTGATAATCTGGAAGAGCTATATCGCTCCAACTCTAATTTGCTTTCTTTCTCTATATAGATCAGAGATCCCTTATTACAGGAAATAAATTAAGAACCAGAACATCTTTATAATCAATAAATGAATAAATAAGAAAAAGAAGATATCAATATCATGACCTCTGAAAATCAAATTACTAAATTTTTACTTTTGACAATGACAAACTAGAGTATTTCAGCCAAACTCTACCACTGAGGACAAACAGAACAGAAAAAAAAATTTTTTAAATGTGTTGAAGGCATCAGAAAGCTATCAAAATAGAAGGTAAAAAAGGAGAATAAAGAAATATACAATGGTGTAACAAACAGAAATAA